CGTACTTCAAAAGTATGTTTAACTTAGGACAACCAAGTCTGGTCTCCTCTACTAACAGATCAGAAATACAGTCAAACACGTAATTAAATAATAATTTCAAAGCAAAGGTAATAATTGGATTATTTAATTAAATGTAATTTTGTGTGGAATTTTTCTTACAAAATAAAGGTTTAAAATTAAAATTCCGAAATTTTTGCTCCATCATGGATATTTTAAGAAAATCATATTTTTCAAAATATTCATTAAAAGCTCCCCGGCAATTCTGGAGCTTCTTGTTTCATCCCATCTTGAATTTTACAAGGGAATGTTCTTTAATTAGGTTTGTCACTACCGATGTTGTTAGTCCAATAGAAGCGGCAGGTCCAATAAGTATTTGGTTGGCTGCTTCTTGGCTAGTGAATCAGCAAGATGATTACGTTTCGATGTGGCGTGACCTTTGATCCATCTTAAGATGATCACATTGTTGATGGATACTTCGGCCAAAGCTTCGTGACATTCGAGTACTAACCCTGAGTAAATTCGTGGTCTACCCAGGGTAATTATTGCTTGTCTGCTATCTGTATAGATGAGCATGTTCCATCTAGTGATATTATTTCTGATGATTTCTTTTGCTGCTATGAGAATCCCCAAGCTCGATTTGAATTACACTGGCACTATTACTCACGCCCATTTTATGTTTAGGTTTAATGATCTGGAGTATATTCCACATCCTGAGCCTTGTATTGTTTTAGAATCGTCGGTGTAGGTATGAATCTGCCACTTCCGGCTCTTCTATTTGTTCTGTTAAAATTTTATATGGTTGCTGAAAGATATAACTCCGTGAGATTGGTGTCCATGTTCGCTTGAAGAAGTGGGAACGTATCAAGTGAATAAAATTGTTCAGCTCTGCTTAAAAGTACACTGACGTACAAAACAATTATTTACTGACTTAAAGTTCACTAGGTGAAAATAGATTATTTTCTTGTGAAGACGAACCTTCATAGGGCTAGTCAGTCCATCCTAGGGAAAAGAACTCAACACTTCCAAGAAAGTTGGCCCTGCTAGCGGGAGCGCATATACTGGGGGGTAATGTAATGTGAATTTTTAACATAACTTTTAATAGGTACTAAAATGTATTATTATTATTATTATTATTATTATTATTATTATTATTAAAAATAAAGTCTTAAATATCACCGCTAGCCTCCAGACTTAAACTCTGGATGCGCCACTGCCTGCAAGCTTATTTTTCACTATTAGTTTATAATTATTGATTCATCTAAGGGTGAGATAGTAGGTGAAGAACATTTCTGATAGCATTATCTAGATTTAAATTTTTCCGATTAACTATTATTTTGCTTATTGTTATTAATTGCTAAAATAACCCAATTTATGATTTAATTACTCCTATTGATACGCAACAATTTTAGTATAAGCGCTACTTGTATAAAAAAATTATTGGAAATGCAAAAATACATTTCTAAAAAAATTCGGTCATGGCGGTCATAGCGAATATACAGGAGCGGCTAAATCCTGACCGGCGGCGTGCACAGATTGTTTCTTATGTTTTCCGCTTGAGAGCGCGGTTTTTTAAATTAATGGATAATTTTGACTTACACATCATACAGTGCGTCAAAAATTGTATTTTAAATTATTATATTTTATTGTTGTTAATTCTGAGTTAGATATGAGTTGATAAATAATCCAATAATTATGGTAATTATTGGTAGGAATAGATAAAATAATAAGTATCAGTAGTTCACTAATTTAGAAATTTTGACAAATAAAATCATACAAATTTATTAGTATAATTTAAATAATAATATTGGGAATTGATAGTATAATATAAAAACACTTAAAATCATTATAGTCGATATATTAAAATATATCAATAACAGTTAATAAACACATAATATATAAAATTCTTATATAATTTAGAAGTAAAAATAATTATGATCATTGCCATTACTCTTACTAATAAATAAAGTAACTTCTAAGAGTACGTCTAATAATTTCATTTAAATTTTTTTTATTAGTTTTCTTCAAATATTCAAAAATTTACCGAAGAACATTTTCGTCAGATAAATTTTCCTCTTTTATTTTTTTTGAATCAACAACTTTTCTTTTAAATTTCAAAACAGCATTCAATCCTTTATCCAATCTACTAACAACTCCTACCCCCTAAATGACTGTATTGTATTACTTTAGTCATAGCCTCTATATATACATACATTTGTGTTATAATTCCAAAATCTTTATGGAAACATAAATCCCAATATATATAATTATTTCCATAATATTGTTTAAAGTATTGTCCAAATTCTAATATGTTATTATCAGTACAAAACTCAATGGTTTTATTTAAATGGAAATCAAATTCCCTTTGACTTTGTTCCTATTACAAAATTGTCTTATGTGCCCAAACTCTTCTCTCAGAATATTTAATTTTGCAGAGATTATTTTGCCATGCCCGATGTACATGATCATTACCATACACATAATGTTTTGGTGATCCCATAACATTCAACCAGGCATTTATAAAAATGTTTATTGCACGTATTGATAATACACTTCAACATTCAACAATAAATTCATTTTTTTTTATTTATTCGACAATTGATACTATTAAGCAGTAGCTGCGCCCTCGGATGAAAAATAAAGTAAATAAACTGTGCACGTCGGTCAGCATTTAGCCGCTCCTGAATATACGTCTTTGTACCAACATCCCAACCTCTAGACCACCGGAGTGTATGCATTGCTGCAATTAAGTTACTAATATGAGGTGTTATTCAACATATTTAAAAAAATATTGATGCAAAAATATTGATTAATCTAAAATTTAACATTTTTGATTCTAATTTCCTTCAATTTTTTTATATTTTTACAAGAAGCACTGATATCTAAAATTCATTATTTGTATAAATACAGGGTGTCTAGAAAGTCTTACAATATAATATGACAAAAATGTATACTGTCACGTTTTTACATTATCTCAAGTCTCAATAATTAAGATTATTTTTGTAAAAGATGTCCGTAATGTGTGATTGTTGACTGAAAATTTTAAAATAACAGAGTTTTACTTTGTAAATAGCATAGTTACCTACCTGGATGACGACTACTATACTTACAGTCTTCCGGATTTTTTTACTTGAAAACAAAATAATTTCGTTATTAATTTTATTGTTAATACCAAATTGTGATATTTTCTTGTCAATTCCAAAAGAATCAATTCAAATATTTCGTTTTAGGTTATCCATATCACTTTAAAGGAGCTCTTTGTTAGAGCCACTTTACAATTCGAAATTTTCCTTGCTGCAAGTAAGGGCGGAAATGACGCACCGCAATGTGCGATTGCACTATGCAGTCGTATTTTGGCAAACCACAGTACGCCACATTTTCTTGTAGAAGAAAATAGACACGTGTCAACGTACAGTAACAATAGCAGCTTGCTGCAATAATAATAAAAAATAATCTTCTAGTACTGTGTTTTTAAACAGTAATATATACAATTTCTCAATAAACAAATTCAGACTGAATATTTCTAACATTAGGCGGCAATAAGTCATGAATCTTTCACTTGCATCACATTAAAAATAATTATCCAAGTCTATTGTTATAGAAAAATGTATTACAGGGTGTCCCACTATAAAGTAACACATTTTAACAGCTTAAAACTCAAGAATGGAAAAAGATATCGACCTGTAGTTTTCACAAAATCGAGCCACATAGCGAGGTGATAATTGACAGGCTGGCGCCCACAGTTGCGTATCCAAATGCACTAAAAGGTAACATCAAAATTAACATTACATTCAACTGCAACACCTTTTAATTTAAGAAAATAAAATAATCTTTGATTAATACGCAACTAAAAGAAATGTTCCAATAACAATAATGATTAAAATACCACGATATTAATAAAAATAATATAATTGAAATTGACAGTCTGGCGTCTAAATTGTCATGCGCCCAGACCGTTTTTTTTTTCACCCATATTGGCTTAGAAATTAGCAGTAGGGCTTATGACATATAGCCATTCAGTTTAATATGAAGATCGGTGGTAGTTTTCGCTAAACTTCTTACATTTTCTTCAATTTGTTGACATATTTGCCAAATTTATATTTTTTCCCGAAATCGCCGAAAGAAAGACATGATTTTAAATTATCGATTAATAAATTTGAGTGTGTTCCTTCTTGATCTACTTTACATAAATTATTTGACGTTTCGTAACATCAGTTATATTTTTTTGAAAGCCACCTTGATAAAACGGTGTCTAATATGTCAGGCAGCTTTGGAAAAAGGACACAGTTGATAGGAAGAGTATCAGATAATTTTTTTATTTGAAGCAAACCAGAAAATACATCAGAATTTATAAAAAAATGAATAAACTTTTACAGAAAATTCCAACAATCTTACAATTACATATTTTTGATGTATATTCATAAAAAAATATATTTCCCAAACCTTAAATAAATAATCACAATGTACACATTTTTGAAAAGGGAAAAGGACTTTGAGGTGGTATTAAAAAATATAGGGTGTTCTATTTAAAGTAAACCGATTATTTAACTTAAAAAAAGGCAAATTTGTCCGGCAGTTTAGTGAATAAATATACATTTGGCACCTATGTCAACAAAAACTTGAAGCAAATGTAAGAAGTTTAGTGAAAACTGCACGTCGATATCTTTTTCCATTTTTGACTTATAAGTTGTTAACATGTGTTACTTTATAGTGGGACATCCTGTATTGTGGTTCTTAATTTAGTCTTTTTGTGTATAAAAGTTCAGCAATGGTGGTAGCATAAATTTGAATAAGGATAATTTCTTGACTGTAGCAGAATTTTATATAAATAAAAATTTTCTTGGTTTATTCGGTCATGTTTTTATTTTCTATCGTTTAGCACAGCACTACATATGTTTCGGAAAAATTTCCATCTTCGGGTGCAGTCAAAATTTAATAAAACATGGGGACGATTACAGTTTAAATTTTTTTAAAATAACAGAAACTCCATCTTTCTGTTTCAGCGTGTGAAGGTGTATAGCATAAAGTTTTTATGCTAAGTACTTAAATGAATCTGTCAAAATAATATTGCAAGGAGATCTTTGAAGAAAATAAAGATATTACCTTATTACCTTATTTTTTCACAGTGTAAAGTTACCATTTCGCAAGCCGAGGCAGAGACCGACTTCAAAACGCGGCGCGACAGCAAAGGAGACACTAAACGGTCTCTTCACTTCTGAACACATATGAAACACATTTCGGTAGAAGCGACCGACGACATTAGATTTAGTATGGCAATATTTGCCGCCTTACTTCTATCCCGGTCTCGCGTCGCTTGTCAAGCGTTGCCAAATGGTACCTTAAGACTATCGGATTTCAATATTCTTAATCGCAAATCATTTCTAAGCAGGATACTGTTTTCTGAAAAAAAAAAAAAAAAAAAAAAAAAAACAATTGACCATCGTGTTGCAATACTTTTTAACATTTGGAAATGTTTATGATCGTATATTGAACCAAGGTTTGTTCAAGCTCAAAAGACAGTGGTGTCGTTGTGATACAATACATGTAGATGGGAAGTTCTGACGTTGGGATTTTAGATGCGCAGTGGAGATTCATTTCACTGAAAGTCTCGAAATAGGTAACATTTCGGCAAATAGATTCGGTGCGACGATTGGCGCGCTTAATTCGTAGTTCTGTATTCTAGAAGTTTGAGACATAGTGAAAAGTGCTGTCATTTTCTGCCTCTTGTATCCTCGCTGTTATCATTTTCAAGTAGGAGTTTAGTTTTGTGAATATCTGCACCGATTTTGACAATGTCGGTTTGTTAATTTTCTTTTGCTTTTAATGTATTTGGAATGTTTGTTCGATTTTTATTTTCTCCTATGAATTTGATATCTTTGCTGCATATTATACGTCTTCTATTTGCATCTCATTCTGAGCATATCCGATTAATCTAGCGCTAATGGTACTCTCATCAAATTTCACTTTAATTATTTTTTTTAGTAATCTAATGCAAGTTGTACTGCCAAAAGGTTTGTCTCTGGATAGTTCTTGTTTCTTTCCATACCAAGTTTCCGCTGGCAAGTTTGTTTTTTCTAATGTTTTTGTCGGTCTCCGATTTTTAGCATATTACTGAGTGTAGTACTGCTTCGCTCGACATGCCTTTATTCAGTTCGATAAGCGTCGATAACTGACGTTCTTGCAGCTTCTATTAGTGTCCTATTAAAGCGTTCTGTTACTCAATTTAGTTGCGGGAAATACTTGAACGTCTTTTTCAAGGTTATTCCTTTTTCTCTGGTAGATGTCTTCCAGCGTAGTCCACACTTGTTTTGCTGTATTTTTTTCATGTGTAAGCTCGAGAAAATAATCATTAATGGATCGTATAATAGGGCCTTTCCTTTGGTATCTTAGTAAATTACTGAGTCATTTAGCTAGGAAGATATTTTCTATTCTATACATCTACTGAGTATGCTTAGTTCCGTCAAATTGGGTTAAACGGTTGTTTTATTTTCTTCCATTACATGTTTCTCCTAAGATGTTTAGTAGGGTTGTCCTGGGCCCATAACCTTTTAAATGATCTGTTAATAATACTCTGTTATTCTTTTAATTTTGCATATATGTAAAGTGAACTCCAAAATATATTGACAATGTAACATCACATGAAATGATATGTATATACAAGGTATTCCAACAAAAATGACGGTGTTGACAGCCCTAGGTAGGTGGCGCTTACTTAGAGGGTTGATGGGAGTAAGTTCTGTATTTAATCATTTAAATTGGTGCCTTATAAACTGTTTCAGGCTTTTTCTGATACCATCTTTAGCTCACTAATGATTTGTAAAAAGTGATTAGCAATTTTTAAGTCATTAATTTACTCAACTTAAAGTTTGTAGATAAATCTACGAACCGTTATTGTCAATGATTTAACCTGCTCATTCCATTTTAAATTTTGATAAATGATGACCCTCAATATTTGCTTTTATTACTAACTTTTATTATATTTCTGATTAATTGAAGATCAAAAGATTATCTATTGATGTTTGTTAGAAAAAAACCAATAAAGAGTTTTAGAGTTATTCAGTTCCTATAATATTATATTATGACTGCAGCGATCATTTCAGCCATTTTACCCCAGAGTTTCAGCTACAATATGACTTGAGGCAATACATTTTCAGTTCGTTCCTATTATATTACTTGCAAGTAAGGAAAATTGCTAATTGTAAAGTGGCTCTTTAGTGAAAATATATTAGCAATGTTATTTGCTGATAATTTTATATCGAAACACGGTTGTGAGACAATCCATTCCAATAAATTTATACAGGGCGTTTCAGATTAAAGTAACTTAAAAAAATATTGAAAAACTAAATATTGTCCTGTAAACGTCTCGGTCTCCATTCTACAGGACGATAAAGTGAATTTCATGAATACATAATTTTCTGAACATCTTCCTTCCTAAAAATATGTGGCTCTCTCACGAAATAGCGCCGAACGATATAGCGCTTGTCAAAATAGAGCTATTATTTAAGCGGTTAGTCAAAGTGGGGTGTAACGTAACGCTGTTTTTATTAATTTACCTAATAAACCGTGCCGCCTGAAGCCATCGCGGATTGCTTTGCAATATAATTTGACATAAAATGATTGAAAAAAAAAATTATTTTTATTAAAATTATTATTTTTTATATATTTTTTGTATATTTTTTGTTGCGAAGCAACCCCCGATGGCTCCAGGCCGTACAGTTTAAGTAAATAAGTTAAAATAGCGCTGTTTAAATTTTCCACTAGTTCGCTGAACCGCTATTTCGAAACGCGCTGTTTTAATAGACGCTATTTCGAGAAGGCGCTGTTTCGTTCAGGAGCTGTTTAGGTCGAGCGCTTATTAGGTCGGGCGCTGTTTTGACTGACGCTATTTTGTTCAGGCGCTTTTTTGATACGCGGTATTTCAAAAGGTGTTATTTCGTTCAGCGCTAGTTTTTCTGAACAGTAATTAAAATAGTACCAAATAAATAGCGAAAAATTAACTGTAGGGGTTATATTATAATAAATAACATGTTTTTAAAATAATTAAACAACAATAATAGTCGTATTTTTCCATTTTTTATATTTTTACTAACTAAAAAAGAAGATGCTTCATCGGGAATTGAATCCGTGTCGCGACATGGTTGCGATATGCCAAGTTAAAACAGTTGAACACTACGAACTATGGGTTACATCACTTGAATTATCTAATCAAATATGTATATGAACCAGTAAAAACAAAAATAATGTAGTTACTTTAAAATTCTTTTCATAATTTGTTAAAAATAAATATCTAAGATCTAGGAGTTAAAGGGTGGTCCATTATCCGATACAAGGTCCACTGGTAGGCCAAAAACATAAAATATATCCTTTAAAGCTATTACGACTTCTCTTGCAGTAGTACCACTTTACATTACCTTTACTTCTATCCACTTAGATCTATTATCAACTAATATTACAAAAGTAAACTTCTGTTTTTGAATAAAAATAAATATTCACCCCGTAAAAATTGTGCGGGGCTGAAGGCTACGGAATGTCGTTAGCATTATTTGAATTTTTGAGTTGATTGACAGACAAGACAATTGAATTAATTTCTCAATACTCTCATTCATTCCAGACCACCAACAATACGACCTCATCACCATTTTCATTCTCACTACTTCTATATGTTGTTCATGAAATAGATTCAACACTTCTTCGCTCAGGGCATCTGGCACAGCTACTTTTGTCCCTAACATCATACAGCTTTGTTCTACTGACAATTCATTTCTATGTTTATAGTATACTTTCACATCATCCCTCGAACCATGACTAGACCATCCAGTCAGGGTGAGGTCACAAACTTTTGACAACATGCTATCTTCCTTTATTGCTCGAGCAATATCTTCAAAATAGTGGTACCACATTAAACATATTGAACGAAAATATATTACTTTCAATCCCAGTACTGTCTTTAGACAGAAACCTTGACAGCGAATCTGCATTAGAGATAGAGCTGCCCTTTTTATATTCTATGACATAATCATAGGCTGACAATGTGAGAGCCCATCTTGTTATTCTCGATGCTGCTGTCACGGGTATCCCTTTATTTTTACCAACAATGAACTGGAGGGGCTGATGGTCACTAACAAGGGTAAATTTACGTCCATAAACGTATTTATGAAACTTACGAAGAGAAACATAATAGCTAAAGCTTCTCTTTCGATATTTGAATATTTCTCTTCTGCTGTGGACAACGAGCTCGATGTAAAACATACTGGTCTATTCTCACCCCCTATTATATGGCTAAGTACGGCCCCTACTCCATATCCGCGTAGTACAGGATTGTATAAGGTTAATACTTGATTTGATAGCAACAACTCTTTACTATGTTTGAAAACATTTTCACAATCTGTAGACCACAGAAAAAGTATCCCAGTCTTGCACAATCCGTATAAGGGCCCAAATTTAGGAAACCTAATTATGATTTTAACTCCGTAAAATTCGTGTGCGATTCCGAATTCTTAATACACTCTACCTTTTCCTCCAGTGGATGTATCCCTGACTCATTAATTTTATGACCGATAAATTAAATACTTGTTTCATAGCATTTACATTTCTTTTTAATAAATCTGACATTATAACTATTAAGCCTTTTGAAGACATTCACTACCATTTTATGACACCCTTCAATGTTTTTCCATAAATTAATATGTCATCTACATAACATTTTGTATTACCTACCTACACCTGCACGAATGCTTTCGATTACTGTTTGGAAAATACCATATGTTAACCTATTATATTTGAATAAACCCAAATGTGTATTAATTGTTAACAACTCCTTTGATTTATCATTAACTTCTAGTTGCTTATAAGCCCCTTTAAATATACTATAGTAAATAATTTGTTTCCAGACAGCTCTGAAAATATATCTTCAGGTAATGGCAGGACACAATAATCCGTTTCAATAACACGATTGACAGTTTTTTTTAAATCTACACATACTCTTAAAGATTTCTTTTCTTTTTTTTGGTACGACTACAATAGGGCTGGCCAATTTGCC